ATGTCCGCAACATAGTTCAAGCTCCCAAATCTGACCTGGTAGCCAGGGGCATAGCTATCGATCTGCTCTAGATGGCCAAGCGAGTTGGCCCGCAGTGCGAAGCTGCCGAACACGAAGATCTGTCCAGGTAGGAAGGTCTCACCTTGGACATCATCGTTGTTGACGATTGAAGGGGCCATCAAACCTTTTGGGGATGGCACAGTGGAACTATCAATGAAAGCACCAATGTCGGTGTCAAAACCGGTAGATCTCGGGTAGGGGGTCCCGAACTATGCGTCTAAGGTCGATGGTAACAGGAGACAGGGGGCATGATGTTTACCCAGGTTCGGGCCCTCTCTATGGAGGTAATACCCTACGTCCTAGTTGATTGATCTTGATGAATATGAGTATTACAAGAGTTGAGTATGAGTATTACAAGAGTTGATCTACCACGAGATCGTAATGGCTAAACCCTAGAAGTCTAACCTGTATGACTATGATAAGGAATCTCCCCTCTGGACTAAGTCCTCCGGTTTATATAGACACCGGGAGGATCTAGGGTTACACAAGGTCGGTTACAAAGAAAGGAATCTACATATTTGGTCGCCAAGCTTGCCTTCCACGCCAAGGAGAGTCCCATCCGGACACGGGTGCAGTCTTCGGTCTTCGTATCTTCACAGCCCATCAGTCCGGCCCATGGCTAACAGGCCAGACGCCCGAGGACCCCTTAGTCCAGGATTCCTCACTTGGTTACCAAGATTTTGCCCATATCCATCTTATCCCCATCGATTCCTTCCCGTTGACGTATCCCTCGTTCCAGTAGAACCGTAGCCCCTTTCGTAAAATTCTTCATATTCATTCATGATAGACTTGCCTGTAGAATATGTTCATTGCCATGCCTTGTTTGTTTATCGTATGCTTGCTCTTTCTTGTGGGTAGTACCGGGAGACGAGTTCGAGTCTGAGGACCCTGTCGAGTACGTTCACGAGGAGCAAGTTTTCCATACCACTAAGGACAATTCAGGCAAGATGATCATTACCCCTGATATCACTACTATCTTTGATTGCTAGTTGTTCATTGCTATCGTTGTGTCACACTACCTACCACTTGTTTATCAAGCCTCCCAAATTGCCATGATAAGCCTCTAACCCGACTTCCTAGCAAACTGTTGTTTGGCTATGTTACCGCTTACTCATCCCCTCTTATAGCGTTGCTAGTTGCAGGTGCAGTGCAGGTTATTCCATGTTGGGACATGGATATCATGGGATATCACAATATCTCTTATTTAATTAATGCATCTATATACTTGGTAAAGGGTGGAAGGCTTGGCCTTTTGCTTGGTGTTTTGTTCCACTCTTGCTGCCCTATTTTCCAACATATCGGTGTTATGTTCCTTGATTTTGCGTTCCTAACACGGTCGGGTTTTATGGGGCCCCTTGACAGTTCGCTTTGAATAAAACTCTTCCAGCAAGGCCCAACTTTGGTTTTACAATTTGCCTAATAACAACTAAAATTTGCATAGGGAGTAATTAACCCAAGGATTCTTAATAAACAACCAAGGCTAGTGCTCCTCATAAGTGTTGGTCCAAACCGGGTAGACTGCAGGGCCACCTCGGGGAAACTCAAGGATTGGTTTTACTCGTAGGATGTCCCATCCGATCGTGGCCTGATTTCGAGATACGCACGGCTCCAGTCGTTGTGTCGGCACGCCGGGAGGTCTTGCTGGTTTTCTTTTACCATTGTTGAAACGTCTTGTGCACCGGGATTCCGAGTTTGATCGGGGTGTCCAGAGATGGAGATTTGCCGCTGCGGATCCTGAGAGTTTATAAAGGACTAAGTTGGGACACCCCTGCATGGTTAAATCTTTCAAGAGTCGTGCCTGCGGTTATGTGGCAGATGAGAAATTTATGATATCCGGTTGTAGTGAACTTGACACTAAACTCATTTAACATACACTAACCGCGTGTGTAACCGTGATCCTCTCTTTTCGATGAAGTTCGGGAAGAGAACACGGTCAGGTTGTGATTGCAACGTAAGTAGTACAGGATCACTTCTTGATTAGTACTAGTTTGCGACCGTATGCATAGTCTCTCATCTTATTCTTGTATTCGTAAGTTAGCCATCATACAAATGCTTAGTGCTTGCTGCAACCTCACCACTTAACCTTCCATACCCATCTTAAGCTTTGTTAGTTTTGACACAGTGGGTAATAGGATTACTGAGTCCCCGTGGCTCACAGATTACTACAAACACTATTGCAGGTATCACTGAGTCAGACACAAGAGACGCCACCGAGCTTCAGTGGGAGTTTGACGTGTATATATATAGTAATGCTAAACTAAGCGTGAGTGTAGAATAACTTATTCTACACCCCAGTAACGATACATACAAAATGTAGTAACGCAATATATAAAATATAGTAATTTTCTGAAAATATAGTAAATTACAAACTTGGATAGTAAAAAAAATATTTTCAAAATTACTACAATTTGTACATTGTTTACTAGATTTTGTATATAGCGTTACTAGGGGTGTAGAATAAGCTAATCTACACTCACGCTTAGAATAGCGTTACCCTATATATGTGTGTGTGTGTGTGTGCACGCGCATATGGTCGTACGAGAAATGCTATGATATATGATTAGTTCTACGAGAAATTCTATTTATATATGCATGACATGTACAGTATGTAGTAGCGTAAAATATGTTTGAAATGATAAAGAATTAAATGGAAAACACAAAATTAAAAGGAAAAATAAAGCATAAACCCCTAAACATTTTACTCCCGGGTGGTATCACCAACCGGGATGGACTAAAGGACCCCCAACCCCCGGCCCGGGCCCAGGCCACGTGGTGGGCCTTTGGTCCCTGGTCGTGGCAAACCGGGACTAAAGAGGGGCTTTAGTTCGACCCTTTAGTCCCGGTTGGTAAACCTGAACTAAAGGCCCTTACGAACCAGGACTAATGGCCAATTCTACACCAGTGAGTTCTACTGGCTTACCTTCGGTGCATGGTGAACAGAGTCAAGAGGAGTTGAACAACTCTGCAACCTACAGGCTAGCAGCTCTCTTGTACCAAATTGGCAACAAAAGCAGTGGGTAATTTGATTCCGAATTCAATATAGTCTTTGCATATTGTCTACTGTAAGTTTGCATCATGTCTACACAAATAATATATATCAAGCTTTGCAAAGAAAGAATCAAAATATTGTTCAACCCATGCGTTTGATCTTGGATGTGAAAGAAAGCTACATGTTTCTAGTGGTATTCTGGGAAAGTTTGAGCACATTTGGACAAATGGATTGGGAGATAATGGCTTTTAGCTAAGCAGACTCAAAATTTATTTATTTTCAAAAAATTCAAACAAATTACAGTAAAAACTACATGTTTCCAGTAGTATTTGGGAAAGTTTGAGCACATTTGGACAGAGGGATAATGGCTATTTATCTAGCAGATTGAAATTTTGGTTCCAATTTTTTTTTCAAAACTTCCAGTAAATACTACTCCCTCTGTTCCAAATTACTTGTCGCAGAAATGGATGTATCTAAAACTAAAATACATCTAGATACATCCATACCTGCGACAAGTAATTCGGAACGGAGGGAGTACATGTTTCCAGTAGTAATCTAGAAAAATCTCAGCTTATTTGGAAAAAAAAGAGAATTACGAGATGATGTTTTTTCTTCAAACGAATGTTTCATTTTTTCGCCGTTAACTTTGAGCCCACCCTCCACTTCCGTCCTGGACTCACCACTGGTCGTGCGTGATGAACGGCGTGACTTTCTAGCGGCAACGACTTGGTTTCTTTTGCATATCCAAGATGTTGATTCAGCGGAGCTCATGGCAATTAGAAATGGAATATACTTGTTGGCAAATTTGGGGTGCAACAATGTGAAGATTGAATCTGATATCTCGTTTGCGTGGAGGCAACGCAACAAATGGACTCTTATCTAGGACCCGACGTTGCATTGGTGTCTGAATGTAATCCCTGACTTTGTTTCTTATTTATTTGTAAATGACATGACCATCATATGAGAAATAAAGTCTATTTGCTGTAAAAAAAACCTCAGAAACTGGTCCATGAGCCTAAAACAAAGATAACCAGTGAAAACCATGGATAATCAGTAGCTTAATGCAGGCATAATAAATACACAACAACAAAAAAGACACAAGATCACTTTACCTTGAATAATTGTAGCATTTCCTCCATAATTTTGATTGATATTCAGAAACAAACATACAGTTGACAGTGTTGGCCTAGCCCTTGCAGATATCAATCTCCACATGTTAGAAAGGCCCCCTACTGAATTTGGCACGAGCTATACATGGTCTTGCAAAAGTAAACTATGAATTTTGAGTGCATGTTGTGTTTGGATGGAGGCCACACCCACCACACAGGCCTCCCTCGCGTGCAGCGACAGGGCGGACCTTGGGGGAGAAAGGGTTGGCGACAAATGGCGCAGATTTGAGTCGTCCGGCTGTAGATGTTCTAAGTTCCCGAGCAGACAGGAGTAAGCAGCATGGCCTGCCTGATACATAAATTCAGTCCCTTTTTCTTTTTCCCCACCTAACTGAATTTTATCTAGAAAATGAATTATGATCGGTCATTGGGAAAACAAATCTCCAGGCCATGCTAACTTTCATTATTAGCCAATGGAAATGGATGGCAGACCACAACAAACAAACATAGCAACAAAAACCAATACATACATATTTTGGGCGTTACTAACATCTTATTGTCAATCAACTGGAAGGCATACCAATACCAAAACCAATACCATACAGGGATCCATCATCACAACAAACAAACAAACAAACAAACTACTTCTCCAAAGTGTCAGGTCATTAGTTTGTCAAGAGGCCATTAAGAGGCGTAACCGCGTACATCATCCATGCCAGTTCGACCAACAATCGCTTAAAACATCTTGATCCCACCTGATATCAACTATTCGTCTCAAATACACAAGGTGGTGTTGATATGAAAAAAATAGCATCGCATTGCCCTTCACTTCCCTCGCTCTTCTAGCACACGGACAAAAAGGGTCTGAGCGTATGCACCCTCCTTCCTCCCTGGGATTCCTTCCTTTGTGATCCTTCGAAATCAATCCACCCTGAAAAGTGTGGGTCAACAACATCCAACGGGATAGAAAATCAAATGTAGCACCGCCAAACGGAATAAGCACTTCAAAGATATGCTAGGAAAGGTAGTAAAAAACAATAACAACAACAACAACAACAACAACAACAACAACAATAATAATAATAATAACAATAATAATAATAATGGTTTCTTTCAGAAACTCACTCAGTATTCTTACCTAATAACGACCATAGCCGGGGCTCCTGCCTCTTTCATAATGATCATACACAGGGCTTCGGCTCCTACCATAGGGTGCTCCATCGCGGCGATCATACCCAGAATTACGTGGACGGCGATCGTAATCTGGACTTCGGTACCTAGGGCTAGGGGAGCGCACGTAGGGACGCCTGCCCTGGTCAGCTCTTTTTGGACTGCCATATCTGTCACCGCCTCGTCTGGGACTGCCATATCTGTCACCCCCTCGTCTCGGGCTGCCGTATCTGTCACCGCCTCGCCTGGGACTGCCATGTCTGTCATCTCTTTCATTGTCATCATCCCGGAAGGCGTATTCAACCGTCACTACCCTGTCCAATATCGTGCTGCACAGAAACAGGAAGGGATGACACCCAGCAATGAGAAATGTGACGTAAAAGTCTGCACGAGCAAAGCAAGATGCCGACAATATTACAGTTTACAGATACATCAGACTTGATGGGAAGAACAGCCTAGAAGCTACTATCCCAAAAATAATCACCATGTATGTTATGAATGATATAAGAGGGGGTTGCAGATAATATGAAGCAGAATAGACAATGAGAAAAGCTTCAGCAGCAAACGTACTTGGTCAAATTTCAATTCCTAGAAAAGTAGCTACAAATTTACAAGGGGAAATTGCAACTGCATGTGGCATGACAGTGCAAATTCAGCAAACCAAAACTGAGGCCATCCACATGAAACTAGCTCAAGACCCAAAAAGAATAACTGGTTACCAAATCTACTTGCCAAAGTGCATGAAGCAGAACTAGACGATGGGTCAGTGGAGCAGAGCAAGCATTCCTACGATATTGGAGAGTTAATGACTTGACGGTGCTTCAGTGGAGCAAGCGCGCAGATAATATTTGAGGGCCTAAAAATTGCAGCCTACCTAACAGTTTTGCTTTCGTATTGATGTAAAAATAATTATTGTAAGAACAAAGCCCATCCAATTATCATATGAAAATGCATGTCAGGTATTGCATCAGTCACATGATGTAGCAGAGAATTTGAGACCTCAGCACAGTGCGAAATAACCTAACTAGTCGGGGGGGAGGGAATCCAGTATGAAGATGTTATGGACCCCAAATGAAATGACGGAAGAATCAGTGCATTGTTAGATGCAGTAGTAATAGCAGCAATGCCATGCCTGCCCAGGGCTCTAGTGTAGAGCAAAGTGGAAATGCACTTGGCAACAAGTAAAGAGTCATACAAGATTTGCAGCATTGTTTGTTGATTTGTTGATACTGGATGGAGGATGGGCAGTACCTCTTGTCGGTCTTGTTGACGGCTACGCTGGCGTGCTCCTGCGCCTCGTACTGCACGAAAGCAAAGTTCTTGCGGATACGAATGTTTGCAATCTTGCCGTAGGGCTCAAAATGCCTCTCGATATCAACGACTTTGGTGCGGATGGGGTCAAAGTTGATAACAAAGAGCGTCCTGGTGGGCTTTGCATCAGCCCCTGTAGGCCTGTCGCGGTTCTTGGGCACCGGCTCCTCTTGCTGGAGGAAAGGGAGACATGCATGAGAGGAGGAGAAGAGTCTGCTTGTAGCACGAACGAAATCATCAGGGTACAGAGAGAGAGACAGACAGAGAAGAGCAGGTTACCCTTGACCATTCGACGGAGAGCCTGCGGCTGGTATGGCCAAACTCGGCGTTGCTAAGGCGCCTTATAGCATCCTCCGCATCGCGCTCGTCTTGGAAGTAGACAAAGGCGTAGCCTGCAGGCAGTAGAAACATTCATCCATTCATCCATTCATCCATAGAGCAGAGCATACTAGTGTAGGTAGTACACAGAGCAGAGCAATTGAATATCATCTATGGACACGAGCAGAGCAGAGCAGAGCAATTGAATATCATCTATGGACACGAGCAGAGCAGAGCAGAGCAGGGAAGATTTTATGACGTGATAATCCACAGAGCAGAGGGCAGGCAGGCAGGGGAGGGAGAATCGTACCGGATTTCATGTCGATGCGGCGGATGGGTCCGTACTTTGAGAAGAGGCGCTCCAGGTCCGATTGCCGCGTCTCGTAGTCGAAGTTGCCGCAGAACACCGGCCTCATCCTTCACCACCCAACAAACCCCCCCTGCTGTGCTGTGCTGTGCTGTGCTGTGCGGCGGCGGCGGCGACGGCGAGGGCGAGGGCGAGGGCGAGAGAGGAGGGGAGGTGGTGCGGTGGAAGTGGAACCCTAACTCTAGCAAGCAAACGTTGTGGGCTCTTCATGGGCCTAGCCGCTCCTCGGTTCAGTTGCCACTTGCTAAAAGCATCTCCAACACCCGCCCAAAAAATACTCCCTCAGTTTCTTTATATAAGTTGTATTTGTCTTTTTTATAAAATTTCATAATGTAAGGTGCATTTGTTCTAATTTCTCATAATTCCAATCTTGGCCCTTCAGAAAAAGAAAAGTATCTCTCACCTGATTGCATGTATCTCTCTTTGTAGAGAAAGAAAAGAAAAAATATCTCTCTCCCGATTGTGTGTATCTCTTCCTTTTCTAGCCTAAATGATTTACTTGCCGCTAATATACAAATTAGACAAGGGTAATTTTGTCCTATCTATTACATAACTATATGCCTTGGTCACTGTGTTGAAAATAATACACTTTAGATAAAGGAATGGAGGGAAAAGCATGGCGGCCAGCGCTGGCTCCAGCAGCCGCGCTAAAATTTAGCGTGCGTGTAGTTCTAGCAGCCACGCTCACATGCAGCGCGCGCGTAGCTCCAACAGCCGAACATTGCGCACATACTTTTTAAGTAAAAACGATACTAAATAAAAATTCATAGGTAAAAACGATACATAGATATTTTATATAGTTTCGCATCATAAATAGATAAAACTACGGTCCAACGACATAAAAAAACTACTAGATAGTGCAATGCAACTACAACCTACTCCCACTCATCATTATCATCATCATCCTCGCTCGTCTGGTCCGAGGTATCGAGCCACATGTCGTCCCAACGAGGATCATTATCCGTAAAGATCGACTGCCCACCTACTTCAACGATATCGTACTGCGATAACGCCAGGGCCTTCCGCCGACGCCTGTCCAACCGTTCCGCGCGGCGCTTTGCCGTCTGCTTCGCCCAGTAAGCTTGCTCGTCGGCGACGTCCTCCAGGTGGCGCCGGCGCCACTTCGCCATGGCCGGCTCGTCCTCCTCAGCGATGAGGAGGCGGTGCTGCCGCCAAGCGTGCTCCGCACGGTCCTGGTCCGTGATAAGACGAGGCGGAGGGGCGACGTCATGCACCTATTGGCGCGTGTGGACGTCCTGGAAGTTCATCTACGCATGCAGCCTGTCTAGGCGCCACGCCGCCGCGTCGTACGCGTGGGCGGCCTCGTGCGCAGTTAGGAAGGTGCCGAGGCCGAGCCGGACGTCGCCGGACCGGATCTCGGCGTAGTACGAGCCGTTGGGGCGCTGGCGGACGCCGCGGTAGCCCGATGCTCCTCGGCGGCATGGTGGTGTGTCGGTGGCGGGACGCTGGAGCGGCGAGGAAGCAGCAAGGAAGCGGGGGAGGCACGCCTGGCAGCGGAAGAGGAAGAGAGAGTGTGGAATAGCCGTGTGGCGAGCGCCACAATTTAAAGGCGCGCCGGAAGCGGTGCGCCAAAAATAGCGTGCGAGCTGCCGCCTTTTTCCACGTGCGCGCAAACGATTCTCGCGCGCTAGTTTCCTGCCATCGCTGGAGCGCGCGAAAACGTCCCGCGCGCTAAAAACTCGGTTTATCGCGCGCGCCTTTTGGCGCGGCTGTTGAAGATGCTCTAAGTTTTTAGAAAAAGTTTACTTAGAGCTACTTTTGTCAGATCTCGTACAACTTCTTTTTCTATAATATCTACTAGCTGAATGTCCATGCGTTGCCACAGAATATTAATTTTTTTCTTCTACGTTGCCTATGCTATCCATCTGTTTCTACAACCCCAATCTTGTAGAAATACAATGTGTATTCTTCCTTGTTTCCTCGCCCTTGAATGTCCATCTAGGATGTGCTATCGCTTGGCTCACCATTGTCTATGTAAAATAAGTTGTCAGGGTCATGACTATAAAATTCACCATTTTCTTCTCCATTGCTTCAACGATCAGCCACACTCTAGTGCACAAATGTAACTGGAACCATAAAATTCATGTAATAGAATTTTAAACATAGAATATATTTTTTATTTACAGAACCGCGACTATTGCAAAATGATTTTAACTACAAATTCTATGGCATCTTTTTCACATCATATAATACAACATGTTAAATGAAGGTTAATTTAGAGAAGACTCGACAGGCTACCCTAGCGGCCGCGTCGACCGTAGCTGGCTGCATGCCATCCTTTCCTTGTGCAAGCTCCTCGCACGCCCATGACCATGAGAGCTGCTCGTGGACGCCATTGCTCCGCAGGGATCTCTTCCCGCGCATTCATCGGGCAGCTATTACTTCCGGCGTCGACAATGGCCTCCCAATCAACTTTCATATATGCATATCTTGCTAGTCCATCAATCAATCCAGTGATTCGAGCTAGCTTTGGCTACCTACGCTACTATAAAATTCAATCCATCTCAAGACAAGTGAGGTTTCCTACGTGCACGTATTGCTGTCTGCTAAAGGGCATGGCTAAGTGAAATATTGGTTTCAGAATTTTATACTCTGACATTACCCTGTTTGTTAAGAGGGACAACTTAAACATTGGTTTCAGTATCTGCTAGTGGTTATATATCTTGACAAAGGATCATCTCAATATCTGACATGACCCTGTTTGTTAGAAGGACAAATGATCCACCTATTTCTTCATACATGTAGGCATCACTCACAACTTCTTAGCATTTCAGATACTGTTTGCCATAACAATGAGATTTAATTAAGTTTACATGTGTGTTTACTTTCCAGAGCCAAACTCCTTCTATATTCATTATCACCAGCAGGAGAAAAAAGGTATTTGAACCCAAAGAGTTATCCATTAGAAAAACTAATACTCCTAGTTGGCTATAATGAACAATTCCATTGTGGAGAATGGGAGCATGATTGTTAAGAATACATTTATTTCCTCAATTTGAAGAGGAAACAACTAACAGAGGGGGGAAAATCTCTAAATTGTCTAAATAAGACTGTCAAATCTTTGGGTATCAGATTGCACTTTGTGTAAATACCAACATGGTATAAGAACCCTGAAATACACTGTATAAGAAGAATGCACGGTAAAATGATCGAAAAAGTAAGCACTTCTCATAATTCCTTGGAAACAAATATACCTTGTGGAGACCTTCATATAGCGACCAGACCTCAAACAGTCTGATCTCTATGCTTCAGTGTCATCCCTGGATCAGTAATGCTGACACGCACAGTACTTGAAGGATTTATAACAGAGTAGCAATCACACACTTATTACAACGAGTGTCTCAAAAGAGAACTTATTACAAATAATATGTCTTAAGGCCATCTAATAACGATAACAGCGAAAGGCTTGGAAGATAAGTGAGTCCATCAACTCCAACGGCATCACTGAGTATAGAACCATGACCTAAAGCTCCTTACTCGTCGTCTAAAAAGTCCGCAACATGAACGTTGCAGCCCGAAAATGGGTCAGCACATGGAATATGCTGGCAATGTAACACATAGAGAGTACTGAACAGAAATAGGCTATACTACATGCATATATGGCTGGTGGAAAGCTCTATAGTTACAGTTTTGCGTAAAGCCAATTTTTTCCTACTACAATGGAATAAATTTTATTTAACTATCATGGTAGTTGTTAAACATTGAGAGTGTAGACACCCTCTCAATCCCAATTAAACATCATCATTAAAACCCAACAGAATTAATTAAAGTCACATGATGAGATTCACATGATAATCCAAGTACTAGATACTCAAGACGTCCATAACCGGGGACGCAGCTAACCATGATTAGTTTATACACTCCGCAGAGGTTTGCGCACTTTTCCCCACAAGACTCGATCTCCTCCGTTGGGATTCTCGCACTACATGGTGTTTGAGAAACGGATGACCAAGACATAGTCTTTCAGAAGCGCTAGCACCTTATGATCGGGTAGACCGCTACACCTACTTTCCCCTACATCTACTAGTCTATCACTGTAAAAGTTCGCACGACTTAATCAACTATGCTAGAGCCCATAGTAGCTTGTGGCTGCACACGGAAGTTTCTAGTATGAATAATCTCATGATCCCTTTGAGCCTGGGTGGCGGTCCATAAAGAAAAACAACAGGCAATCACTGGAATACCCAGGTGCCTCAATCCACCCAGATGTGTATTAAAGTTGCCACCTTAAGTTGAACCATTAATTAACATTCTCACATCTGTCATGGATACACTCAAACCCAATCCATGTCTACAAGCATAGCATGGCATAAGCAAACATAGAAGTAACTCCCAGTGTTTGATAATAAAACAGGTAATAGGTGCTACCTCATCTACTTCCCAAAACCCACATATTAAACAGATCCTAATCATGCAATCGTTCGAGGATTGATCTAATGCAATAAAACAGGGTAGTAAGAGGTATGATCAAAGTGTTACTTGCCTTGCTGATGATCCGCGAAACCTAGAGATTCAAAGTAGCAAGCGGCGCACTCCGGGTACTCTAACGCAAACAAACAAACAAGCATACAATGAGTACTCATCTAATGCACAGGTAAAACTCAAATAAGAGATCTAACCAGAAAGTTCAACTTAAGAACTCCGGTTTGCAAAAGAAACAAATCGAATGAAACAACGAAAGTCAAACGGCGAGAGAAAACAAGTTTCGATTACTAATCTGGAACTAAGTCAAATTTTATAGAAGCAAAAACTTGTTTGGGTTGGTTAAACGGAAAGAGGGTTTCGAGACAAAAATCTAGGCGCTTGAATCGCCTGATTCTGATAAACGAGCGAAAAGTTAAACTAAAACAAAAATCGGATCAGAAATCGCGATCAGAAATAATCGCGGAAAATCCGAGAAAAAGAAAAACTAACGAATAGATTAACGAACAAACGTTCGTTATCTGAAACTAAACGGTGAACTCGTCCGTTAAAACGAACGAACGAGAGAACGCTCGCTAAATAAAAGAACCGATAAAACCAATCTAA